ACAAATTATATGCCTAGAGCCACTTAAATATAAAGACCTGTATGTACCATAGTTTTCCAAGTCGGTACAGGGATGGGGGTGGGGGTGTACAAGATAAACACACCCCCGCGTTCGTCTGAATCGCCCGAAGAATGTTAGTCCTGTAAAACCTCCTCATTAGACAAAGCAAACAAGTACTGCACTTGAATGAGAAGTCCTGGGGAGACAAATGCAACAGAAATTGAAGTGAAAGGGATGAGAATGAGAGGGTGAATTTACATTGGGTGGTTAGAGGGAGGAAATGTAGAGTTTTCATGCATGAACATAACGGATATAACGAGGTACACCCTAGTGAGTTCTCAGGAAGCGACTGAGTGACGGAAAGGAAAAAATCAAGTTTACCTATTTTTATACAGCGGTCGATATGAAGTGCTGTACTTCGCGTCAACCAGTCAGCTGGTGTCTCATATCGATCGATATATACCTCTACAGAGGGATCCACTTATTCTTAAAAAAGGCTAAAATTATGTTTAGTTAATAAATGAGCTTCAGAAACAAAAATCCTAGCTTCAATCGAAAGATAAGAAATATGGTGGACAATGAGATTAAAGCATTGTTTATTTTAATTCATTACCAGTTCATTTATATTTAAAAATATTTTGGAAATTTACAATACATTTTAACACCATTCACATATTGTAGAAAATAAGCATTTTTTAAAAAAGTAATTATAAAATGTTATTACATGATAAAAGCGTATATATCCATGTCATATGTTTAAAACGAGTTATAAATTTCATAATTTTTTTTTGAAATATTCAATGGCAATGTACAAATTTCGGGAATCTGAGGGTTTTTCGACCCAGAAGACGACGATCTGAACGCAAACCTTAAAACTTATTTCCTCCGTTTATGTTTTTTATTCGTTTAGCTGAGGTAAATGAGACACTTACACTGCAGAGCTTCAGTTTTACGACAACGTTAGACGTATTACGAATTTCTGAAATGAATCTGTGGGAAGTGCAAACCAGCAGTTCTTCTAAAAACGGATCAGAAGTGACAGCCTCACATGTTCAACCACGTACTGCTTGATGTTACAAACATTACAGTGAAACGTAGTGGGATATTTGGGTTTGACGACGTCATTTGAGTATCCTAGCAACGTCAAGAGGCTATAACGCTTGTTCAACTAATGCATCGTTAAGTTTCTGTATAAAGTCTTAACACTATAACTACATTAGATTCGGTTTCTGTTTAACTTTTATAAACATACAATATGTCACAATAAAAGTTCGCAACTTAAATGAAACCCAGAGGTTCATTTGCGTGCTCACAGGCGTCAGCATGAGCCAACTGAATCCAGTCGACTATTCACATAGTCTTTTCCTAAGATGTATTTTATGTATTAGCTTCCTATCAACGACTAGGCCGTCCAAGTAGTCTTTTATCTTGAGGGTTTTCTACTAAAATATCTCCCATGTGTGTATCGAGAGCTCATTCTCGAAAGTAAAAAATTTTGTTGCGAAATCTGTTGAACAACTTTTAAAATAAATCGATTTCTTTTCGTGACTCTCAGTAAATCGTTCTTGATATTGGGTTAGAAAATATATAATATAGTAGCCGTTGTCTGTCATGAAAAGAACTTTCTTTTTTTTGTCACCTTGACAGGTCACACGATCAGCCAATCTAAAAATAATCGTCGTTAAGCCAAGTCCTTCACCCGAAAACGGATGACTGCTTTGTTTCATTGAATTTAACAAGCCTCGAATGTACTTTGGTTCCTGACGAACTGTCACACGACATGAAATATGGTAATCATGCTTCAACCTTCTTGACACAACTGATTCGAGTTACTATCTTCATTCTGACTTTTACCTCCTACGGCCTTAACTATCTTAATAATTTATATCTTCTCACTTGTAAACGAAACTAGTAATCATTCTTAATTTATTACCTTTCTAACACAACTACAGTATTGCCAGATACTTATATGCCAATTATTTTTGACGTAAATACGTCTATATTTTCGGGTCAGTGTCATTCGGTAAAAAGTGAAAGGAAAAAGTGTAACTGAATTGTTATGTTACCTTGGCAACGTCAATTATTTACTCGGCATTATTGTTACCAAGGAAACGTCATCTGTTTACTTAGCATTGTTGTTACCTATAAAACATTTCATTACATTACCTTACCTTACCTTACATTACATTATCTTACATTACATTCAGCTACTACAGATCCATCTTAAGCGTAACTAATTCAAGTTAAATAAGCAAAGTCTTAATCAAACTTATCTCAATTTTAAGGCATGTATAAAAGAAATATTTAGAATAAAGCCAATATATAAACTTCCTTTTCGTATAGACGTATTTACGTCAAATTCTCCGGAACCGTGGTTCCACTACCACTTTTTTAAGTTCGGATTATATATACTTACTGCTGACTTCCTGTCCAGCCTTTTATAGATAGTTTGGCTTATAGAATGGCAACATAAACTCCTTCAGATGACTTTTTCTGGAGTTTAGAACGATGGTTTATTCCACTTCATAACATTTAGGCTATTGACAGATAAAGAAACTGAAACAACAGAATGTGAATGCCCATATTTAGTGAGTCCCCCAAAGCCACACGGAAATGAGGCCCAGCGTTGGGCACCGCTTCCAACCTAACCTAACCTAACCTAACCTAACCTAACTTAACCCAACCTCTGTTTGCTCTGATGGAATGGCATTACTTTTGCACTGACGGTCTCTCGATACGAAGGTACGGAAATCGACTATCGGTCCTTGACATATAATATTAATTTTCTGTTTGGGAACTTGTGACTGCCAACCGAGAATTTGCAGGGGCGAAATGTGACAAAAAATTCCTGTCTCCCTTTTATGTGCTACATGTTCGGCCAATCTCATTCTTCCCATTATCATCCTAACATACTTATCTGAACAATGTTAAATATTGTACTTTCTATTCTGAAATGACCTCGACCTGAATTCTACTAAAAGCGAGAGATTAAAAAATTATACGTACATATTTCTAGATTTAGGTCAGTCCTTGAAATCAGGTTGTGGGGGGGGGGGGGGCTGGAGCTCCGTCTCTTTATGCTTTTTCTGAAATATTTAATTGCGATTAATATTATCATTATGGTCACCAGGATTACAACTCACGTCATTATACGTGTCATGAGTTTCAAGGTATGCATCCCGCTGTGTTCAACGTTAACATATTTACGTCAAATTCTCCGGAACCGTGGTTCCACTATCACGTTTTGTCAGTGACTTATTTCGGAACGTCCTCGGACCCGTTTGAAATTAGTGCTACATTTACGTTGATAATGTGAGGAACAAGTATTTAAAAGTCAAGGGTGGGAATTTAAAGTAGGAATAATATATAAAAAGAAACTTATATGTTATGCAGTACGATTAAAATAGTGACGTCTTCAAATTGATATTCATTACGCTGTAACTTACAAGCCCAATTAAGCCCAATGTAAATCATGACACAGACTGTAATTTACACTACAATTTTCTCGAAAGTATCTGACAATCTTTGCACATAGTAATACAATATTTACATACTGTATCTTATTTATTTGTTGTTTATTTAACGATGCTGTCAGTAGATAAGGGTGAGATTTGACTAGGCGAGCGATTATTAGCTTTTCAAGAAGGATTCTGATCTATGCAGTTAATTTACACAAACCACAAGTTAAAACAGCGATAAAATTCGGCTGTGAGCCATGGACATGGGATAAGAAGGTTCAGGGAATAAAAGAAACGACAGTAATAATGATGCAAAAGTTCTAAGACTGACACACACGATTAGGGCATAAGTAAAATGTAGATATTGAAACAAGTGGAAAACTTAGGTCAAAAATACAGTTGTAGAGATTATTAAATGTTGAAACCGATGTATATAGCATATAGGTAAAACATATGAAGTCGTATGACCGAAATTTGCGTCGGATTAAGAGCATGCACTGAATGTACAAGAGGTAGATGAAGGTGAAGAAAATCCCGGAGAGTGGATTTTAAGATCGACGCAGACATTTCATTTTCTGATGCTTAAGGGATAAAATGAACAAGACAAATAAGCAGGTTGTTCAATTAGCTATTGTACTTTTTCTATATGTATTTATCTTTCGAAGTTTCAGCAAAAGGGTCTAATTAAACGAAGAGCACGTTTAACGACGTATCCACGTAAGAAGGTGGGAAAAAAGGCAAAATACAGTTTAACTGAAAACATCACTGTCAGAACATCAGTACAGGGCGTTTACAAAAAAAAAAGACTTCTTCAAGAATCCTCAGAAGCTTACAGAACTTACAAAACATATTTCGAAAAGAGAATACATGCGTCAATAAATGTACCTCAAACGTTACAGCTCCTTCTTGCACCCCCTTCCCAAAAGGGCACATATAAAATATTCTACTCCTTTATCATGATAGGCTAACACAGATATGACGTCATATCATGAAGGAGCCAATCCCAGTACAGGAATGCAAGACGCAAGCGTCATGGCCTCTAAAGCGTTTCCACGAAAACTCTATGTTCCTGTCCGCTCTGCCCCCCCGTCCCTGTAATTTTCCTCCCCTCAATTTATGCGTCCCCACCAAACGCCACCTTGCAGCGCCCTCCTTTCTCTCTCGTTTGCGCCTGGGAAGAGAGGCAGCCTGGCACGACTCGGCCGGGACCTGGGACCTGGCAGCCCGTGTGTGTATATGTGTGTGCCGGGTTTGTCTAACCGCCTCCGCTTTATAGCTGTGTCCAAAGGGGGCAAAGCAAAGAATAGATTTCAGGGTGTTTTGCGGGCACAAACACATTTACAAATAATTGCAAACGCAAAAATTATAGAAGGAAACACGAAAGGTGTGAAGTATTGTTTAGAAAAATAAAAGAGAGTGGGAAAATTGAGAAAGTGTTTAATCCCTGGAACTAATTCGTTGCGACACGCACGCATATATTAGCGCAGGCGGTTTCGGATTCAGAGAACTGACTTCTTATAAGATCGTCTCGGTAAGGAAGTTTAAGAACGTTAAGAACCACGGCCGACTCCAGCGAGGAAACCGTCGTACCTACGGGCAGCACCGACACGTCATCAACAATCGGCGGGTCGTTGTTGGGAAGATTACCCGGGCCTCTGCTAGAAGGGCTGGCATCTACAGCCCCCTCGTCACCCCAGAGAGTAGCCTCAAATATCCGCGGTTACCTGGCCAACAAGTTCGAAGCTGCCATCCCTGACACAGGTAGGTCTGAGTCTCAAGAACTACTTCCGCTGTTCATTCAAAGAATATCAAATTACGTATTTCCGATCTGAAATCACACATCACGCCACGTGTGTGTGTAAAGTGCATGCAGAAAATAATAAGTGTTTATGTTTACACTTGCATTCACGCATCGTTAAATTTATTTATTATTTGTGTTCTTTGACTTCATTATCTGAGACTAAATAGCGCTGAATAGTCTGATTTTCCAGCACTGATTGAAGAAAACCACTAAAAGTCATTCAGGGCTGCCAACCATTCCGCCGCGACATTCGGATATAGCAATAAATAATTCACACTTTGCACAAGGGACCTGAATAAAAATCCCTATCTATTATTAATCTTGAATGAGTGGTCAGTTTATTGCTCTGACCGTCTTTATTTGAGGAAGAAGGGAATCAGCTGCAGACCTCAGAACGTCTTGAGCGGAACCCAGAAATGTTTTGGATTGAGGACAGAAAAGTTTCAGTCATCCCAGTCGGAAAGCGAACCTGGCAATTACATAAGATGCTGAATTACACTGATTAGTTAAATAATATTTTGAAGAAAATCTAACACAAGTCTAAAGCAAAGATATTTATTAACTAACAAATTCACACGAAGGGCGAGAAGACGTAATTTTACAGTTTTATTTTAAGGAAATAAATGTTATAATTAAATATCGAGAAACCTATATAATATATAACAACAGCATATGTCGATTTGTTATGTTCGAATTTGCCTCAAATACCGGTTGAGAGTAATAATTGAAAACCATGAAACAGCAAAGTCCTGTACATTAATACGTATATTATTAGCAATTTTTTTCATTAAAGAACATCAAATTACAACAAATGAATGGTGTCTAACCTTCATGAATCTCACTGCTCGTTGGAAACATATGCGGTGACGATCACATACCTGAAACACAACAACAATTAATTTAATTAATTACTCAAGTCAGTTCACTCAACTCTCAATCAAGTACATCCATGTTAATAACCACATTTTTTCTACACGAATAATTACACCATGACCTTCAGATCCGTTAGCTATTGGGATAACTATAACAATAATAGTTTTCTGTGACTATTATAGCAAGTAGACCTGATAATAAACCTCGTAACTGATAAAAAAGGCCAAAGATACAACGAGAAAGTTGTGTCTGTGCTTAATTAAACACTACTCGATGTCGGCGTGTGGGAGAATAAACGTGTAGCTCTAAGCCTTCTCACCCTCGGCATCAGACGGAGGGGAACGGTCAGCTTCGTGTTTCGGCCGCTGTATCCCCGGAGAAAGAACCCCTGGTACATAGACCCCACTGCGTAACAGACTGGGGCAACCCGAGAGTCAGTATGGAAGCGGAGATGGTGATGGATTAATCCTTTCGTTTCATAATACAAATATATATTTTAAGAATAATTTAAAATTAAAAGCTAAAGGAAAATATTATAATATGAAGATTGTGGTACATGCTGTGTAATTCTCATCATCTAGACATTAGTACCAACGTTAAATTTGAACATAAAAGATTAGGTTATTCTGCATTCCGTTATAAGCACGTTTTATAATACAAATTAACAGCCTCCAAGTTCTACTATCTTCGTATCATATGCGTGTGTGTATGTATATATGTACATACAAAAAGTTCCACACAAAATGTATACACATTATATTATCGAATATTAACCTTGTGTGTATATACATATTTCTTGAGACACGCTGTATATGGCTAGGAATATTCTGTACAACATTCGGGATTTCGTAAAAGAATGTCAGAAATCGTTGCATTTTGAGACAAGGTCGTCTCCGTTAGTAACACAACGACAGACTGTCACATAATTATGACTCAATAACAGTTTAATGTTCTTCTGTGAAGTGGTTGTTAAAATTTTGTGATACAAATAAAATATGTAATGGCTCAACAATTTTTCGCAAAATTCTCCATTACCAAGTTTGATCAAAATTGGTGTAACCGTTCTCGAGTATCATTACTCGGACTGAGAAAACGACATTAATCGGAGGGCCGGAGGTTTGCGCACGAGCATAGAACCCATTCGTTAAAACATTCCTGGTGAGATCTGACATTTTACGACGTCGACTACGAAGATGTCTATCTTCTGGAACGTTGCTCTGTGTAGTCTGGTAAAAACTGACCGACGTTTCAAACATGCTTACTTCCTGCATCATCAGGGCCTGCAGCATCGCCATGACGACAGATGCTGTAGGAAGATCGGAAACGCCTGTCAGTTTATACGAGACTGCACGGCGCAACGTCCGAGAATACACATTCGTGTACAGTCGTCTTCAACGTATTCTTCGCCGTGCAGACTTGTAGGTAGATACCAAAGTTCAATTCAATTCAATTAATTTATTTACGTGTTTGCCAACAGCAAGAAGCCAATAACAGGCAAACAAGTTTCTGAGTAAAATAACTTCCTGTCGCCATCTTCAGGGTTATGACGTCGTTTGGGCTGAATACCTGAAGATGGAGGCAGTATGTTTCTCCGAAACGCCGGCATATATCTACAAGCCCACATGGTGCTAAATACTGAAGACAAACACCAGCATCTTCACCGCCGTGAGAACTTCAATTATCACATTCCTGGTTTATTTTAAAATGACAGGATGATTATTAATTGAAAAGGACGTGGAATAACAGAGAAGTGGCATATTTTATGATACCACAGTTTTTCTGAAGAGAAAGACGATGAACACGAGACACCTTAGTCAGGACAGAATTTCTGGACCGAAATAAAAAAAAGACTCCCGGACACAGAACGGTATCGTTTATCACCAGACCAAAGCTTCTGGAACGACTCCTGTTTCTCTGGAACTGGTCTGGACAAAGCGAAAACAGCAGGCCACGTAGTCGAAGGCCTGAGCACGTAAGGAACTGTGCAGGGAAAAGAAAATGACACGGGGGCGTAGTCCCCAGGGCGGGGGATAATTGAGTTGAGTAGAAAGAGAGAAAGGGGCTAGATGGAAAAACAGTGGCGGTCGTGTGGGGTTGAAGGAAAATGGGGGGTGACGGAGTGAATGAGAAAACTAAACTAATCTGAGGTGAGACACACGCGTAATATCAAAACGATCGAAGCTGTAAGAAATCCGAACATTAAAGCCATCTTGGAAAATTGTGGCTTGCGGCAGATAAAGTGCACTGATGTTAGACCAGCCACAACAATTTGCCTCGGCCAGCGCAAATATATTCAACAAATAAACAGAACAAGTTGGGCTACGTACGCGTAGTGTAACAATTCAGGCGCGCTCGCCAGTCATGGAATTTTGACCTGTGCAAATAGCAACGGTTGTCCGGGCTTACACAACCATACAGGCATGCTGAACCTAACATTTTATAACTTTAATGTGAAAACGAGCCTAAAAACTGCAATTTCTATGTAAAATAAAACAGATACAGATTACGTCCGTTACCTGCTGTCTAGCCTAGAAATTTTTGAGTTTTATCCCAGCATAAAAAAACAAAACAACAACAACAACAACAATAACTATAGACAGAGTCAGTACAACTAGAGTCTGGTGACAGGTGTTGTCGTAGGCGATGTCCTGATAACGTGCTGGCAGACCTTGCCTATCTATCGTATGCCTTACGGTGGTTAGTATTATTGCCTGAGGAAGACAGAGAGAAACCTGTACTAGTGTCACTTGGTCAAACACAGGTTTCAAGAACTATTGTGTTTAACAGGAGTTTCCGTGTCGATAAACCATCAAGTAAGTGACTGTGGGGGAAAAAATATTGAATTGGGAGATAATATCGAAATGAAGATGGCTGTCTCCTGGGTTGTAGCGCCGTGCAGTCTGGTAGAAGTTTACCGACGTTTCAGAGGTCCTTGCTACCTCCATCACGAGGGCGATGTCGGCGTACAACACAGAATACAGCCATCTTCATACTCGCAGGGAACTTATTATATTAACAAGATAAATAAATATTAACAATTCTAATACATGAAAGAGTTAATGAGCGTTAGAATATGGTGATTGTATTCCGAGTAAAAGAGGATTAAACTCTTATCTTATGACCAAAGTAATCTTTTCAGAAATAAGACCATTTTTAAAAATTTAGATATGGGTTCAATTAGAATGTGTGCCAGAACGTAAGATTCATCTTTCTGTCGAAATAGAAAACAAATTCGTATCTTGATGTGGTATACGCGACATAGAATAAGAAAAATAATAACGAAATGGAATATTCTCGCAGAGACGCTTCTTGCAATTTCCATCGCGTAGAAATAATATCCGTGGGGCGTGGTGGTTTCTGCTGTTGCTGCGGAGAATTTTAATGGAGGAGTCAAACCCGGAGCTGAGGTTATGCTAATTTAAAGACAACAGCGCCAGACTCCAGCACCCTGAGGCCACTATGGGGAGTCCAGCGCTCCCTTACATCATGTTTCTAAATTAACGTGATCAAATTGGAGGTCCGCGGGCCACATACGACCAGAGACCAGGCCAGCGAATGTATTTGTAAATTTGTTACTAGCAACTACAAGTTCATTTATTTTATTTACTCCGAAGAATTTTAAAAAAAATCGCCATTTTTAACCCGCCTGCTGCTCTATGTGTATCACACGTGCTATTGACTTTAAAAACTCTGCTGTAAAACAATTTATCTTGGTAAAAATGTGTCAGATGAAAGCTTCTGAAAGAGAAAATTTAAAATAATATGTAAGTCCGTAGTAGATTGTGTAAATTTTAACAAATTTATATGCGAGCAGATAATTATGTTTTTTCTGGAAGGGTATTATTAATGATTACAAAAATTGCTATTAGTTTAAGAAATAAATACTAATAAGGGATTCTTAGACCTTGGGATCAATGGGAAAACTATTCTTGGCCCAAGAGAAGAGAAACGCTCGACTACTCTATTCTAAATTAACGGTGTAGCAGAGGGTGCCCGAGACAGCAAAGAGACAAGGCAATCGATTTTCGATCTAACTACAAACATTTTAATGTTTAAAACTTCGAAATTTTTCCATTAATTTCAGACT